TCTTTTCAGAACCTACCTACCACTACTCCTAAGGCTATACAGGGGACCCCTGCAAGCTTAGCTTTCTACCTCTCTTCGATGAAGGGAGGTTACCTCTGTCGGTGGAGAGGGGTAACGGCATGTTTGCCCTCACATCTGCCATATGTTTCTTTCTCAAGAAAAACCACTAACAACAAACAAAGGAAGAAGCATATATTTCTACTGTAAAATCGGTCAGTCATCTGTGGCCACCACAGGGGAATGTTTTTTGAGCTCTGTCGCAGGTAATTCATCGGCCTCGAGATACCATCATCTAAATGACCGGGAGCCAAGTCCCACTTGGCGAAATTCTTCATTTTCGATCGTCCATGTCTGCAATCTACGGTCAGAAATGGAGGATACGGGTAAGTGGGACTTTGCCCCGGCCCTACCGTAGGTAGTAATTAGTATAGTAATTAGTACGTTACTTTGTTAATGAGAATGCATGTGGATTCGAACTTGGATCTGTGTTTCAACAGTTCATGGGTGCGCGGACCGAGATAGGCCCGTTGGCGGGGTCTGTATTTTATTTCAACATTTCATTGTTTTGCAGCTGAGCGAGGCACATCGTCTCTTTAGACAGACACGCATCGGTTTTCTCCGAGCAGCGCCGTCGGAATTTGCCGTTCTCTCTTTGCCGTTCTGCGCGTACGCGCTGCGTGCAAACCGGCTTGGGGAAGTGCAGAGATGTGGAGGAGAGTTCCATTCACACTCGGCCCAAAACAGAAGTAGGTGAGTTCGCGCGGGCTGTTGCCGACGTACGCTCTCCCTCCCTCCCTCCCTCCCTCCCTCCCTCCCTCTCTGCCTCAGCGGCGTTGTGCGTGAAGAGGTGGAGTTCCGTTCACACTCGGCCCGAAAACGAATCAGGTGGGTTCGTCGGCGTGGTGAAGTGCACCCTCTCTCTCTCTCTCTCTGTGCCCCCTCCCTCCCCCCCTGCTGCTTGTCCCTCCAGCATCCATCCACTCAACAATGGTCAGCGCTGAGTTTGGAAGAAAGATACATCATTAGCCAAGTCATTGAAATGATTGTGGATGCTATCTATGAATTGCCCTCTTCTACTGGCGTCCATTCGTTGAGATCTGCAACTCTTTTTTTTTTTTTTTTTTTTTTTTTTTTTTTTTTTTTTTTTTTTTTTTTTTTTTTTTTTTTTTTTTTTTTTTTTTTTTGACAACTCCGGGTTTTTGTGCGGGTGCCATCTGGGCAAAAAAAAAAAAAAAAGTGTGACAGGATTTGTCCACGGCCGCAATCGGAAAGGATTGAGCGGGGATAATGCCGTGAATGCGGGAGAGGCAGGAGGAGAAGGAACACGAAGGGGGTGGGGGTCAAGTGCCTGGTCAGGCCAGGCAGAAGGCAGCTATCGAAATCTTTGAGGGGCTGGAGTAGCAGGAGAAGGACAAGGGCCGGGGGGGGGGAAGGGATCGGGAGGAGGAGTGGGTCTGGATTTGGTCAATCAGGATGGGGTATGGGGCGACAGAGGAAGCAGACGGAGAGTCATCGGGATAGGGTGAAGCATGCATGGTAAGTCTGCCGGCATTAAGGAGGTTGTGGAGGAGGACGACGTCGAGGAGAGGAGGGTCCTAAAGTAAATGGGAGGAGTTTGTAGGTCGGGAGCACAATTTGCAGAGAAGAGGATGGGCGGCGCAGATTGGGAGGGGGGGCTGATCAGGATGTGGGATCCAGAGGAGGAGAAGGTCGGCATGCCAACCAATCGGGGTGAGGATGTAGGATCCGATGAAGAGTGCAGTAGAAAGAAGGCCAAGGCAACAGGGTAAGGAATGCAGGTCGTGGATTGGGATCGGGACAAGGTGACGAAGAAGAGATTGCAAGGCAGGAAGAGGGGCTCAGCGCGGAGGGAGAGGGGGGGGGGGGGCAGGTTGTCGGGAAAGGAAGGAGCAGGATAATGACGAAGGGACGGAATCACGAGAGGAGAGAGTAGGAAAACAAATACGAAGGGACTGAATCACGAGAGGAGAGAGCAGGTAAATGTGGATATGCGGGTGTTTGAAAGCGATCAATGAAGTAGCGGATTTATTACAGTATGCTTCATGGTGTTTGCTATAGAGGTGAAACTGTTTCGTTGTTGGATTTGCTCATCTTTAATGTGCTTCGTTGTCTGCAATAGAGATAAAGCTGCTTCGATTTTGGATCTACTTATCTGGGTGAAAAAGGGGCTGTTGTGGTGACAATTTACGATACACAGACTCACACAGAGACACACAGAGACACACAGAGACACACAGAGACACACCGAGACAGTGTGCTTCGTTGTCTGCAATAGAGATAAAGCTGCTTCCATTT